ATTAACACAATGATAAAATAATATAACTTTATTATTAATTTAATACAATAATATTACTATATAATTTATAAATGTAACGTACAACTGGATTGTATCAGAGACTGTGTAGTGTATACGAATATGTTTGTTACAAATAATTGTAAATAATTATGCATTATCAATCGTAAGATGTTAAACATTTTAAAATATTATCAATAAGTTAGATGACCTTGTCATGAACAATTTATATTAAAAAAAACAAAAAAAAAAAAACTAGTATCTTACGAGTAAAGTTAGAATAAGTCAACATTGTTCAAATATTATATACAGATTTGGGCATTGTATGTAGAATATTTAAAAAATTAAATAACACATCTTATTGAAGAACTTAAATAATCATAAAAAATTTAAAATAGACTGCTTCAAATATTAGTTATTTATTAATCGTTTAAAAATCTATTATCCAGTTAGATACCTACAATAAATAATTAATATAATTATCTTAAAGTAGTTTGACTTAATATTACCTATTTATTATTAAATTATAGTCATTTTGATAAATTATAACTAAAAAGTAATGTTAAGCACAAAAATAGAATCACATTAATTTTTTATTTCACATACACCATAATTATGGCACTTTAAGTAGCAAAGTCGACTAAATATTTGTATTTACATCAAATGGTTTTACATAATGTATTTCACGTAGGTACACTTGTCGTACTCTATTGGCCCACCCTATTAGATAATTTTCTTACCTCTTCTCTTAAATAAATTCATACCGGTAGTATCTCATTAGCCAGGATAAATATATTTTTGTACATTGAAGAGTTTTTGAAGTCTGCCCCTTTTTGTTCTAATTTCATAAAAATTATCTTTTAGTGTAAAAAAAAAAAAAAAATAATTAATTTAAAAATCATTTTATAATTTTAAGATTAATTACTAGAAAGTATTACTCCTAAAGGCTAAAATACACCGATAATCACATTTTGCCAGACCACATCAGAAATTTTTATTTTTACATTTTCTCTTCTATTTCCATGAAAAACGATTTTCAAACAAATTCTTTATCTTCTTAACTTGAACTTTAAGATTTTCAATAATATATGATCGATATAAACATTGATTCTATTCTCGATTTTAATTGATCGTTTATAATGCAAACATGGACAAAATAAAAAACAGAATAAAATATTTATGCTAGAATATTTGAATGTAATGAGATCAACATTTTATGCCACAAAATTGTGATTCATAATTATGATATTATTAAAAAAATTTTAACTTGATTAATTTAAATTTTTATGACTCGAAATCTTTGATACCTACCCGACTGTATTTTAAAAAAAGTATTGGAAAATTGTTAGAATATATGTGTATGTTATATATATATTATAATATATATATATTGAAACGCAATCACGTTGCACCGATATTATGACGGAACTTATTTTGTAAGTACCTACTATTTTTTTTTTCGTTAGGTTAAACATGAAACAAATATAATTTGAAATAGATATATACAAAGACAAACATATTAGTCAAAGATGCAATATGTAAAATACACCATATTATAAATCGACTACAAAAACTCACAAAAAATTCTTTATGACCTTTGCATTTGAATTTGAAGTATAACATAGAAAGAATTCGAGTAGTCTTCGGTTCAGTATATTTTTCTGAGAAGTGAGAACACTGATGAAACCCGGATTGACCTGTAATAACCAAAACGATTCCACATAGTTAATTAAAAAGTTTTTTATGCCACTTTGAAATTTGAACCATAGACATTTTCTAGTGTAATGCATAATAGCATGAATTTATTAATAATGTAAATTATAAAATGTGAAGTAGTTTTTGAAATAATTTTAAATGTCGGTACAAAAAAAAAAAAAAAAAATCGATTTTCAATGTTTAATTATCACAAGATAAAACAATTTTATATCCAATATTACAATATTTGGATAATATATTTTATTTTTTTATTGATATGAATACTAAAATATTAAATACTTACTAGTTACTAGTAATATTCACTATAAAAATATCATGCGAGCAAAACAAACAAATTATACTAAAAGTTATTGAATTAATGTAGGTACATGCTAACATGTGAAAATTATACCAACAATGTTTAATATAGAACGCTACTGTTATTTATTTATTTTATAAACAACCAATGTAATTTTATAGTAATATACTCGACTTCTTCTTAAAACCTGGAGATTAAATATTTAAATACATAAAAATATAATTTATACAGGAAAATATAAACATAAGTTTATTTTCTTTTAGAATCACAAAAATCTATCTGAAGCTCTAAATATAAAAGCTAATAAATATTACAATATATTTATGCAGTCATGTATGTTTTATTTTTTTATTTGCTGTTAATAATTTAAAATTGGACAAAATATACGATTTACAATTTTCTTCTTATAGATACTTGAAGTTTAAATTTCGACAACATTTGCTACTTTAATAAAGAACAAGGAATTTAGTTATTTTGTAGTAATTCAAAATTGTTATTTGTAGAGACGTAACACTTTTATATATGATTATGTATTTATAAAATTCTAAATGGAGCAATGATTTTATTGATTTTACAATGTATGTTTTTTTGTCCATCCTTACCTTGAAGAAAGTAAAAATGCTTCAAATATCAACTTTAAGTCTAGAACGTAGAAACTAGTAGAAAATTAAATCTAATTAGTACTATGATAGGTTAAAAGTATAAAAAAACTCTTTTTAATAATAAAAACAAAAATAAAACTAAAAGAAAATGGGAATATTTATGTAAACTTATTTTAGATTATGAGCAGAGCGATAATGAATGTATGAATGTATTGATTTCAACACGTATTTTTTTTTTGTGGATGAGTACATGATACAATTAGATAAAATGCTTCGATCTTCAAAATTGGAGTTGGTTTTTAGTTCTTGGTAATGGATTTAGTTTGTATTTTAGAGTGGTGAAATTAAATTTTTTTAAGTATTTATTTTTATAATTGGAAATAAATAAACAAAAAAGTAAGGAAAAACGGGAATTTTTACGCAAATTTAATTTTCTATAAAATCGATTTTGTTTTTTTTTTATTTATGTAACTCGAAAACGAATAATCGTAGCTTCTTTAAATTTTCACAAAATGTTTACACTGTAGTTTTCATTAAAAATACAATTTTAAATATTGTTTTGTTTATTTATTTATAATTAATGTCAATTAAAAATTTGCTGGGTAAAAATACTTGAAAATTTAATATAAAACTCTTAATAAGTTATTAGTATCTCAATTAAACAATTTTGAAAATATTTAGTCACAATATTTTTTATAAACAATTTAATATACAATTTTGATAAAATTCATAAAAATCGTGAAAATGTACTAATTTTGTTGTTGTTAAAAATTCATAAAAAATTATGTTTTTATACTTAAGTTTTAAAAATATAATAGGTACAAAATAACTTATTGGTTTTTTAACTTATTTATGAAAAAAACATTTTCAGAAAGTTAAATTAATGTTAATCAGTACCTATTTACTGATAAGTTCAAATGTTTACTACATTTGATATTCATCTATAAAATAATTATTTCTTCTCGATTTTTTTTGATATTTTATTGTACGAGTATTTCAAAAAAAAAAAAATAAAATAAAATGACAATAGATTCTTGAAATTTTTTCTAAAAGTTTAACATGCTAATCATTTTTATTATACGATAACATTTTAAACTTTTTTTTAGTTATTTATAGGTTAGGCATGGCAATTTAATTTTTTATTGGTTTTTATTTTTATAAATATTGTTAAAAAATTGTTCGCTGAGTGAAAATTCTTAAAAATTTAATACAGGATCCTACAAAAATTATTCTTATATCTGTATACATTTTTTAAAAATATATAAGTACAAATTGTTTTTATATGAATTTGAAGTTAAAATTTTAACGAAATTCGTCAAAATCGCAAACAATGTAAAATTACTTTTTGTAGTTAAAAATGTATAAAAACTTTTCTTTTTGTATCTAAATTTTGAAAATTTAAAAATTCCTCGTTAGAATTTATATTGGTACTATAATATCTAAAAAAAATGTAAAAACACAATTATTTTTTATAGAAATGTTAATTTTCAGTTTGGATATAATTCCTTGTGTAAACAATAAACAACGATACCATGTTATTTATTTTGTTATGATTTAAAAACATTATTTATGAAAACTTAAACTGTTATGTATTTTATATTATTATGAATTTTATAATACACAATAATATTTTTGATTTATTTTAAAACATCATCCATTTATAGACGTTATGAATCTATTTTTACTGATGTACGGTATGTCGGTATTTATTGAGATAATATATGTTATTACATTTTGTGTCTTATAGGTTAAATGTGGTATAAATATATTTTATTTTAATAATTTCATATTTTTCAAAAAAAAAGTTTATCAACTTACCAAAAATATTAAAATTAAAATAAATAACTTTTATAACTTTATTGAAAAAAACATATCACTTGATAATATAGGCTGATAGACCGTTTCTGCTCGGAATCATTTTTCGTGTACAATGATATGTTGTTGAATTCAAATTTAACACATCTATTACAGTGACCTACTGTACACCTACACTAACTTTTACTGCAGAGCGGTATCCACAATATGTTATGTTATAAAATTTAAAACATTAAATACAGAATATACTAGATAGATATTACAGTGCATATAAACTATCAAGTATCAACCGCCAAGCTGATTTATTAAATATTATAATGAATGAATAAATAATAATATTGATAAGTCCGAGATACCTATATTAATATTACACATAATCCTGGTTTTTGCCTTTTGGTACCTACCTAACTAATATAATAATCTGTCGACCGACGATGATAATGGTGAGCGAATTAAATCGCGCAATTTATCTCGGCATTATCTTGCCGGTTGGCAGTACTGAGGTGACCGACCGGTTGTGTGAGGCGCGCATCCGTGCCCCGTGAGCCGTTCCACAACGGTCTCTCGCGACGTCATCGCTTTGGCTGCGCGGGCAGCGGCACGACTCACTCCCGGCGGCCGGCAGTTGTTTTCCAACGTTTTCCGCGGCTAGACTGTGGTTGGTATCCGAACGGTTAGTTGTGACGAGTGCGTTACTGATATACTCTTCTTCGAGTGCCTAGTTTTCCGATTAGATTTCAAATTTTAAAAAGCTGCAGCCCGAACGTGAGTTCTACAATATTTACGTATTTTATGTATTATTATTATTTATAAATAATGATATATTTTAATATTATTTTTGTAGTATAATATGAATATCGATTTGGTGCATTACCTAGTTTAAATATTTCATTTACATATATTCGAAACCAAGTAATGAAGTGTACCTACTAGTTATAGCAAGTACCTACAATACGTACAATATATCTTATTTTTAACTTAGTCGCCGAATTCTACGTAATATATAGTATATAGTATATACCTATACGAAGAGACGTTGATAGTTTGGTACCTATAATTATAACATAGTTATTATTCATTTTAGATTTATTATTATGTTGATAAATATGAAAATAGTAAGTAGTGTTAACGACTAGATATTATTTATTACATTTTTTTAGCATATAGATAACTTTTGTTAAAAAAAAAAAAATAAAAAGCTATTGCAGGATTTAATATTTAAGGAATGTAATAAGTAATAACTCTATTTTGATAAGTGACATTTATTTTTTTTTACAAAAATCATCTCGATTCATCTATTATTATTTATATTGGTGAACGTAAATTTTAAATAACGAACGTACTATGCAGGTAATAAAGCTTATAGTTACATTACATTTTGTAAGTTATCTGAAGAATAAAATATAGAGTAGATTTAATTTGAACACGACAGTATTACACTAGTAGAGAAAAGAGTATTGGTGTACGGAATATTGGTGTAAATAAAAGAACAAGAAATTTTAATTTATCATGTTAAAAAAGAGAGATTTGGGTAATTAAATAACAAATTATTGAAACAAGATATACCATCACAGTTTATGAAAGTAAACGAAGAAGTATAGGGACTGTGATTGAACTTGAATATGTTATTTAGCGGCAATTGATTATATTTAATATGATTTTCGATTGGCGAATAAAACTTTTAAGCTTTAATACAAGATATTTAACATTGATAAATACTAATTTTTTGTTAGAGGAATTTAAAGTTTTTAAAATTAAATTAATTTTGTTTTTTAAATTCAAAATAGTTATTAGTTTATCACATAATGAAGTAATCAATCAGTAAATTTATTTGACACCCATCCACTATCCACTATTTTGATTGAGGTTTCGACCAACATACATCGCTTCATGTGCGTCACTGGTACTCTATAATAGATAAAAGTCTTAATCATTTAAGTGTGGTTTTGTTGACTATATCTTAATGTCCAGATACTTTCTAAGAAATTATTTTAGACCTTTAAAAATAAATATATTTATATGTGTGTGTGTGTGTTTTATATGCTTTTATAAGCACTTATTTGGTTTTTATTGATTTATTTAATGATTTAATTAATAAAATATTCTCGAAATTATGAGTGTTTGAATACTATGAATTAATTTATTCTCAAATGATAAAATACATAATTTTAACATTTAAATTAGAGTCGTAGATTTAACTATAATATATCAAATAATACATTTTTTCTTGTTTCTAGTTTAAAATCTGAAACTGATATTTATGTGTAATGCTATATAGTGAATTCGTTGGTGGGTTGGTGGCAACCAAACAGGTTATTTTGGTAAATATTACGTACCTATGTAACAATATACAAAATAAAAATTCATGTGTGAGAAACGACATTGAACTTGCCGAAAACAATCAACATTATTACATATTATTATCGATTTAAGATTTTACATCATAGTATATAAATGCTATTTATTTGGAAATAGAAAAAAGAAGGCTACAATAGTATATTAACGAAAAAAAATATAAACAATTAAGTTATTATTTGGTATTATTAATCATGTTCAAAATTATAGTGTAAAAACAATTATTAAATTTTACAAAATTTTTATGCATTGTTTATTTAAGTTTTTATTTCCATGGAAACATGTTAATATCCTGCAGGTGTTATATAAAAGGGGTTACCTAATGGGCTACTATTAATTATAATCGTAGTTAGTTTAAAATAAAAGTACCACAAAAATTCGTGTTTTATATTTTTTGATAGTCTTGAAGATCTTTATAATTGTTAGCTGCCAAATATTTAGAATTATTAATAATTTTGTAAGGTTTCTAACAATTTTTTGTTAATCTTAATACATTCTGGTTGAATGCTTGAAATACCTAGTGGTATATTTGAGAGGGGGATGGAAATGTGGGCAATAATATCTTCTCCACCATCACTCAAATAATTTTTTGCATAATATACATTTAATTTTATGTTAAGAAAAAAATTATGAAAATTGAAAAAAAATAGTTATCAGTATGTTACCAATAACTCTATTACATACGATAAAAGTTATAAATATTTTGATTGTTACCATGATTTAAGATATTTGTATATAAATAAATCGTGATTGTGACGTTGCGTGATGGTTGCTCTGTCATTTGTCGTGTAAAATTATTTAATTGGTAGAAGATATTATTATGATATTATCACAGTTTAACAAGTAAATAAATTAATAATATACTTTGTAGATTATACCTAATTCTAAATTTATATTATATAGTATATTTGTGATTTGTAAACTAAATATTAACAATTTTTAAATGCTATAGATATTGAGATCTTAAAAGTATTTATACTAAGCATTTTAATAATTAGACTTAAAAATTCTGAATAAATTATAAAAATTTATTTAAAAGTAACTTTTCTATTAGTATACTAAAATTCATAAATTAAATTTGCTGAAAATATTTTCTAGTGAATAGTTTTTGAATAATTTGTTTTATTTTTAAAAAGGTTTATAATGTAGTTGACAAATGACATTAATAAACTTATATATTTGAACTTGACATGTATTTTATGTAGCTTAAAAACATTGCTAAGATTTACTATGTCGTCAAAAAGAATATTAAGAGGATTGACTTTGTTGTGTGTGCATAAATTAATAAGTATAAGTGTTGATTGTAATTGTATAATTGTATTGATAAATTAAAAAAATAAAAGGTATATTAATTTCATAATTTAGTAAATATTGTTTTACTGTTATTTGAGTTATGTTTATTTTATTTACCTTTCTTAAAAGGTGTAAAAGTGTAAAGAGGCTAGCACAAATTGGACAAGTAGTTATGTAATCGTATAAATTATTTGAATAACTGAAAAAACTGTTTTTTCAAATTTTTAATAAGATATATCAACAATCAAGAAAAAATTAACCACTTAATAATTAACAGTTTTTAAGAGAGGTTCTTATTTGATAAACAGATATTTAATCACCACAAGAACCCTGTAAACAGTACAAACAGTTTCAAAAATTTAAAAGTACGGTCTTTAATTGTACTTAAAAATTCTAAAAATCTGTATTTAAATTTATTTATTATGAAAGGTAAAAATAAGGGTGCTTATGTTTATATTATATTGATATTTTTACGTTAATATTAACAATAATTATTGGAGTACAAATGATATAATTTAATGTTATGGGTTTAACATGAATTGATCAATAAATTAAAACTAAAGCAGTATTGGACATAAATCTTAACTTTGTCTTTCACGCCCTCATCATGGAGTTTTAATGCTTTTAATTTAAGTATAATACTAGTTTTCATGACGTTTAATTGAATAATTAATTACATTTATACATTTAAATGTTATTAATAAATCTACAGTGTTATATGTTATAGTATTATAACAAGGTTTTTTTAAAAATTAAATATTAAAAATCTCAATTTTTTTTAAATTTACTGAATAAATTTTCAAATAGTTATGGGACACTTTTTTAAAATTAACACTATTTGATGGGATTTGAGACATATGAATTAAAAATCTCATATGGAAAAATCAATATATCGAATGTACATTATGTTCCGTACATTTGTGTAGAATTGTATAACAAAAAATGTAAACGTAAACTAACTTTTAAGACTATTAAGGGACAAGATAATAACAGCGAATTCAGTTATAACTTATAGGTTCTGATTTGTGTAAATTTAAATTGATAATCAATCATATTTTATACATTATATAGCATTTTTGACAATGAGAAAAATGTACGACCTAATTTTAATAATTATAAATATTAAAATAATTTTTAAGGAATTATATTTATTTTAATTAATATAAAATATTAAAGATTTATATTTAAATGATTACCGTGAAATAAATACTTCCTACTACTTTTTAGTTGTATCCAATTTTATTTAGGTATATATTATGGTGTATGTATACACACACACACACACACACACACACACACACACACATAATATATATATATATATATATATATATAAAGATTAAACGTGCAACAGGTTTGCTTGCAATGCACTTCAAAACTACACAACCGTTTTTTATTTTGCTGATGTGTGTGATTTGGTTTAGCTTAAAAATTAAAAAATAGAATAATTCATATTATCTCGATTAAATATGTGTAATAGAGATGTATGAAAGATAGAGTGAGAGAGAGAGGACAAAAATAAACGGTTTGATTTTGGGACAGTGCGCCTGAAGTTATATTATAATTATAATTTATAACTCTAAAAATAATTCTAAAGTATTATTAATAATTTTGATTTTTTGGAAACAATTGATAACGGATGATGGGCTGAAGATAGATAACATAGATAAAATTATACATTTTTATAATTTAAAATAATAAAAATAATTATTAAAAATAATTAAATATTAACATTATCCATCTTATTTATGAAATCAAATTTTCATGTTAACGTTTAAGAACTTATTAAATAGTTTAGTATAGCGTTAATTAATGGATTATAACAGTTACAGCATCGCGTGGCCAAGTCAGTAAATATATATATGACGTTTCTCTATATTTTTACACCCAATATAATTTTCTAAATATTAGACTAATTTTAAGCTATAATTTATAACCACGAACCAATTTATAAAATTATACGGTAGGTTGGTATTGAATTATAAGTCACACCCCCGCAACTTACAGGTGTTGTCTCCATCTTCATAATGTATATACCATAGTAACATATGCTAAATGTAATACTTTAAATTTTATAATAACTCACTTAAAAATTAAAATATCGTAATAAACCAATGTAAAATTAGTTGTATATTTTAACTTTTATAATAGATCAATTTATTTTTAGCTAAAAACACAAAATTGGGTTTGCTGAACTTAAATTTACCTTATTGTATGTTTATAAGACAGAGAAACACATACCGGTATGACCGTTCTCTAAATAATACTTTAGTAATAATTATTAATTTAATATTCAATGTATTTGGGAAAAATAATTTGAATTATCGTACCTATTACTATTAGTAATTACTAATTAAAAATTAGATACTAATAGTAATATAAATAAATTTTAAGTATTCTTAGAAATAGAGGCTAACCCACTGTGTTTTTGTTAAGAATTGTATTCCGAATGCAATTATTTATCGACTATCATTGGATTTAATCGAACACATCCATTATTACAGTAACATACTCAATGATAAAGTGTAATTAAAATATACCATACAACAAAACAATTTCGATGGTTTTTTTCAAAAATATTTTATTATTGATTAATTTTATTACAAATTACAAATGCTTCATAAATTATGTATCTTACATTTTTTATTCTTATCTGACAATAAGAAAAGTTTATTGAATTATTAAATATTTAAATAAAATGTCTAAAGTATATACCTGGTATGTTGTTGTATGGTTTTAAAGTAAATTATAACAAATATATAAAAAATCAAAAGATTGATAATTATTTTTCTTTTAACAATTAATATATTTATTTATTTTATAAACTATTGTTTTATTGTTTGTTAGAAAAAATAGGCACTTAAAACCATTGAAAGTAATAATAAAAATCACCAATCATATTAAGATATAGTTTATTAATTCATATTATAATCAAATTATATAATGAAATTTGATTGAATATAAAATGGCAATATTAATATATCTTCATCAATCATACAATGATGGAGATGGTGGTGGATATACGTAAACAGTGACCTTGCCGCGCCCTAAAGCTTTATTGATTTTGTTGTTAGAGCAAAATGAAAGCTGCGCTGCCACCTCCCTCCCAGAGTTATTTATTTTTTAATGGGGATGTTTTGCACATGTGATGCTGCTAACCGTTTCTTTTAGTTAATTGGTTGTTATTAAGTACTTAGTACATCGATTATTTTTTTTATTTTGGTATACTAAAAAATAAAATATCTATACTTAGTTTTTATTTATTTGATTTTCATATTATTTATGAAATTAATAAATACTAATATACTTAAACATTACAGGTAAAACAATGATCTTATTTTTAAAAATTATTTTATCCTTTTTTAATTTATAATTTTAGTGTTCTGTCATGTATAAATAGTACTAAAAAATATATGATACTACATATGTACTATTATAGCTTTTATAAATGAAGAAAAAAAATTATTATTTTGTTAGAATATTTCAGATATTTTACTACAATCATATAAACAAAAGCAATAATTTTAATAAATATCTGCTAATGATGCATTTATATATTTTTTTTAGTTATATAAGTTTGGCAAGAAAATAAGTAAAGTAAACGAAAATTTGTTGATCAAGGAAGATTAGAGAATCAAGGCAACTTTAACAGGTAAAACTAAGTAATTACACCTATATTAACTTTAAGATTAATATATATATATAATGCATTGGTTACCATGTATTATTGTATGCAATAAATAAAATATGGGGGGAGGGATTATATACATTTTAACAACGAAGTTTTTGCATTTATAAAATGTTTGTAATTTAATTGTATTAATTGTTTATTAGTTAAATATGTTTTTACTATTTTTATAACAAGTTGTAAAAATACTAATGAATTTAATGGAATGGTTTAATCCACTAAACCATGTTTAACTGTATAAGTGACTATTAACTTACTATTGATTCGTTAAATAATTAACGATTGTTTATGCAACTTGTCTTTGGAATATTGATATATATATTTGTATACTATAAAGTTATATTTTATGTTAAATTTTTGGGTACTAATTTCATACTTTTTTTGAACCAAGTCATAATATAATATAGTAATATGATTTATCATTCACAATATTTTCTTTATAAAATATATTTTTTAAAGGAATCCCTTTTTAATAGAGAATTTATATTTATTTTCCGATTAAAAATCGTATACAAAATGACTTATTTGTACTGGAAAAAAATTAAAAAATCGAAAGAAAGAACCTTTCACTTCTTCTAGATGTTCTATGTATAGCTCTTGTGAGTTAATAATGAATTTTTTATGTAATAGTAAGCACATTCTATTTGATTTTACAAATTAGTGTTTATAAAAGATTGGTAGTTTAATTTTTATATTATAAAAAATAATAATTTACTTATAAAAATTAATGATTAGGTACTATTAAAATGTATTGTTTTAATTTAAAAACAACTTAAGAAATATTCTGTAAAAATATAAAATTGTATTTTTTAAAATTAGGAATCACTTTTTCTATTACAAAATACTTAGTAAATAATTTATCTGAAAAATTTTGTTTATTAAATTCAAAATTCTAACGAGTAGAAGGTTAATCATGTACAATAATTTACATTTACATTTAGGTATACACTGCTTAAGTAATATAAAAAGAATTTTAAGAATTTAAAAAAGTTACCTTTAAGTATTCTTAAAACTTCTAAAACCAAAATTTGACTAAATTCATTATTAAAGGAAAAATAGGGGTGAGCATGCTTAGTGAATCACTCTATACAGAAAATAAAAGTTACTTCGTGTAAACAATATGAATTTAATTTTTTTGCCGTATATTTTAATTGTTTTAAAATTTGTATGTTTATTTAATAATTTAATAAACAGTAGATAATAAATAAATGATTTATAGTATGTTTAATGTTTATCATTATTACTAAGAAAATATGCCATATTAATTAGTTAGTACAAACGAATGAATAGGTACCTAGTAAATTAATCATTTTACTATGTTAGTCATATGTTATTTATTCATAAGATAACATTAACTGCGAGGTGCTTGATCATCATTGTAGTGTGTAGACCATACAAATGCGTAAATAGTTTATAGTTACTATATTTTACAACTGTACCAAAAATATACAGCTTGATGATTTGCTAGACGAATTCGACCGAAACTAATTGTCGACACATTATTATACATTATTATATTGTTGTATATTATCCAAAAGGTATACGTAACGACAACTGTAATAGAATGATGAAATATAATGCGTTTTATATGCGCCATTATAACGAATTTGTGCTGATCTTTGTCAGCATCGAGATTTCTATAACACAGCAACACCTTCAGTGTCCGTGACACGATTCGTGAGAGGACAGTTGAACCATAATAGATATAGGTACCTATATTTGTATGAAAACATGTACAATGTACATATACCTATGAGTGTACGACAACAAACAGGGAATAATAAAGTGTGGAGATAGATTAAAAACGACCAGTATAATTATCGGCCGTCGGATATATTATAATGTTCCGGTCATTAAAAATCCTAGAACAATGCGCAAAACTGACTATATCGTTCCGGTGTATTGGACGTGTTCAAATAATGTAAAACACAGCTTCAATGGCCGCGGGAGAGGGAACCAAACCAGTGAAAGCAATGACATGTATGAGTTTTTCCGTTGACTTTAGTGGTGCTTTTGATGAAAATCTAATGTCCCTATAAGAATAATCAGCCGTACTACTAACTTGTATTAATATATAATCATTATCAATCAATCAGTTTATAGATTAGATATTTTATAATGATACAGTGAAAGAAAGAATAATTTTTTAATTGGTTAGCTATATTTTTATAGTATCGTACACATTCTTAGCAATAATTTATACATTAAAACACTTCAAATACTCAATTGGTAAGATATACATTTATTACATTTAAACGTGATAAATTATTGCCAAACAACATGGTATTAAAGGCTTATATTTATATGTATAATTTTGTGTGTAGTTTAGATTACACATTAAAAGTCATATATTTAACCTTCATAATATATTACAGCGAATATACTAAAGAAATATATGAATTAGATAGTTTTTTGTTCAATATCTGATCAAAATATATCGAGTATTCGAGTCAACTAATAATTATTTTTGTTTGCACTTAAATCGTTTGATGAATTGACTAACTATTAAACTGACCGAGTTTTATACAATTAAATTCTGTAAAATTGTTATGAGAAAAAATTCTAAAGGTTATGATTACCTAGGAAGACATATTTTTGTAGTAAAAAATAACGAAAATTCGAACAAATTTTTTTTGATAATAAATTAGCATTTTTTATATTTTAAAATAATGTGATGAATGTTGTAGCGCCACTGTAATAATACATTATAACAAATACAAATAATTAAAATAATTATGCAATATTTTTAGTATATTTTTATGTATTTTAAAATGGCACGAATAATTTAAATTATTATAATACAAAAAAAGATTAATTATAAAGAAATAAATTCAGCTATAAAATATATATATATATATATACATATACTCGTATGTAATATTAATAATTTCATTTATATGCATCATACACATAAATTATAAAACTGTATAGGTATAATGTAAATGAAAGTGTTAGTAGTTAGTAAATTAAATAATATTTTTTTCACTTTAGATATTTTTAAAAATCCATCTAATGTGAATAAATTTCAAAAAATAATTAGAGATTCGAATATTGTTTGCATTTGTTCTTGTACATATTTTAGATAGTGCATTATTGTCTATGGCGCGACGAGGCCCCGTTATTCCGCAACGGATATTTATTATACCGTCGCGATGTGTAAAAAATAGTTCTTGTTTTTTCGGATGTTATATTGTTGTTATAGTTTAAATATATTACATTCAATTATTGTTTTAGTTGCTTAATTAAGAAATTTGTTGGCCATCAAAAAAATTGTTACGTCTGCGAAAGTGTAGTATTTTTCACATACGTTTTAAAACAAATTAAAATTTGGGTCACTGTTTTACTGTAATTAAAATATTAATTTTGAATTTTGGTTAAATCACTGTTGAGAAGATATTAGGTGATGAAACATTATTCTTCCTTTGATTCAACACAAGATGCATATTATTATGAAATAATCAATAATCAACCTAATTACTGCCACACAATTTATTGCTGTACTATTTATTTTTAAACACAAAATAAATCGTCAAAATTATCTTGAATTTTTATTTTCTATTAATAATTAGGTAGGTGAATTCTAAACTAGTGTTTATTAGATATGCACTGTATAAGAAAGATTGACGTAGTTCTGGTAAGAAAACTCCGTGGTCTTTTTTATAAAATATTTCTGCTTTCCCCTCTCATTTTAGATACTTTATCAACCAACACCTACTACACAAGCCGTGCGAGTATTCAACATTGAATTAAAATATTTTCGTCACATTTTCTTCTTTCTTCCTTCTTATCCATTACACAAAGGTAGTAACAAAGAATTCATAACAGAACTATTATACTTTGAAATCGTTTGTGTGTTAATAATTTCCGTTTATCTTCGTATTAGCTATCCATCTATACCATTTCAAGTGCATCTGCTCCGAGAAAAATAATTAGAAAATAAAAGACGTGCATTGTGCTCTGCGTTGGTCTGTATTTTGTATTTTGGTCTATTGAAAATTGAGTTTTTTTTTTTAATCTGTTAATCTCAAACATTATGTGTAGTATAATCTAAATGTTTTAATTTGCATACATATTTAAATATATTATGATAAATATTGAATATTCTAGGCATTGTATATTGGTAATAGGTATACAATTTTTATAATATTTAATTATACTTATAGCTTTTATTAATTAATTCTATTCAAGTTTAATTCGTATAATAAGTAGGTATATTAAAATCAAACATTTACATTCAAATTAGTTCTTGAGCACGCGTTATTCTTTCAAAATTGAGTACAATTTTAAATAATGTTATTCAAATAATAGAAAATCATATTAATTTAATTTAATTTTTTTAAATTTCGTCATATATTCAAATAATGTATTTAAGTTATTTTGTATATACCATGTCTATTAGAATGAAATTATTTTCATGGATTGAAAATGTTAACAAAATAAAAAACTAACTATTCTATAATTTGTTTTATCTGTTGGTGTTAACGAATAATCATGAAAAAAAAAAAATTAACAACAAACAACTATAGAATTCATATCTAATTTTTATGTGCTGAAAATATCTATAATATTGTGATATTTAAGATATTTTATTCATATTGATTAGAAGTTTGGGTTACTAAAGTAATTAGAATTTAAACCCAAAAGTTCAATTATTGATTGTTTGTGTCATTGTATTATTTATGATATTTTTGTTGTTGATTGTAAATTATTAATTAAGTCACACACACACACACACACATATATATAGAATATAGATACTTACTAGTTTTGCACTACTTTTTTAATTTCAATTATTTCTATTCATAATAAACCCGGAGGATATGTTAGAAATTGCTGTACTTGATTTTTTTTCAACTTCACAAGATATAAATTATGCTTATGTAGATATGATTTCATAATATAATGCTCTTGACAATACGTATAACAGAAATATACCAAACAAAAAATTCTTTTGTCTTTTTGCT